AGTCAAGAGTGAGAAGAGGAGAGGGAAGACAGGGAGAAAGAAATAAGAAAAACGAGATGTAGGGAGAGTGAGTGAAGGGGGCTGTAGGGAGAGAGGGAAATAGAAGAAGAGGTAGAAGAAGAGGCGAGGAGAGAGAGGAAGGGTAAAAGTGTTGAGTAGAAAAGCAGGCGTCCTCCAAAGTTTATAAGTTTAAATAATTCAAGTTTTTCTGTAAAAACTCCGCACAGAAAAATGTGTCTATTTTGTCGACCTTCACAATTTATTGGAGAAACTGAGGCTCGTCTAAAGCTGCAGGACGAGGAGGGAGACAACGGTTGAGCTGGACATTTGTGGCCAAACCTTTTTGTTCAAAGCCTGATTTCGCCGGATTTCTGCAGCACGGAGCGGCTGGGCTTGGTTAGGACTTGGATGGGAGACAGTTGGGAACACCGGGAGCCAAAAGAGGGCGCTAGTGGAAAAAAAAGAAAAATGTTGTTGTGTTCTTAGGCAAGACACTTCACCCACATTGCCAAGTATGAATGTGGCGTGTGAGTAGAGTGACCAGGCATCGATATTTACCCGGGACAGTCCCAGTTTTGAGTCCTGTGTCCCCTGTCCCGGTAGATTTATCCAAAACCAGTGATTTATCCCAGTTTAATACAAGAAATATCCCAGGTGTCCTTATTTTTGACCAATACATGCATTATGAATTTCAGACTTCCGGTCATTGCGTAATGCATACTGGGAAGGATTTTCTGAAAAAGTGAGCATCAAAATGCCGTGTTTGTTTTCCCAGTGGGATGCGTCTATTGACAAAGTCGATCTTTTCAAGTCTTTTGAACCATATCACTTTTGTTTCTGGTTCTGATATTGTCATATTTTAGTTTTGGGATTCGGACATTGTAATTGTGTGGTTGTTGAATGTCCTAACAGCGGAAAACAGCTTGAGAAATGTGTTTGCGAACTTCATAAATACAAAAGTGAATCAGATCTGTGTGACTGCAAACCTCCGTTCAAACTGTTTCCCTTCTCAACGGAATTGAAAAATAGTGAAAGGTGAAGGCGATGGGCGGTACTGATCCACAGGAAGGACCAAAAAGGTAATCTTTGACTGCCTAAATCATCCCGAGTTTGCAGTGAACATTTTGTACGTGGAGCCCCAACAAAGCAAAATCCCGATCCCTCACTCAAGCTTGGTTACGAATCTAAAAAGTCAACGCCAAAGCAGAAAGCACCAGCTGTTCACCAAGAAACACCTTCCACTGCAAAGAGACCAAGACGTGATGTTGCTGTAAAGTCGAACAAGCTCAGTCTGTTTGTCTTCTGTACCTCTCGCTTACCAAACGGGATCCCGCATTGATGGCGTTCCACATGCAAAAAGTGCAAACTCTAGACAGCCACAGGTTTCCTTTTTTGTCCTTCTTGTGTATCAATCCTGCCCATCGCCTTCGCCTTTCACTATTTTTCAATTCCGTTGGGAAGGGAAACAGTTTGAACGGAGGTTTGCAGTCACACAGATCTGATTCCCTTTTGCATCTACAGAGTTGGCAAACCCAAACCCAAAGCCCGTTTTCCGCTGTTAGGACGTTCAACAACCACACAATTACAATGTCTGAATCACAAAACAAAAATATGACGATATCAGAACCAGAAACAAAAGTGATATGGTTCAAAAGACTTGAAAAGATCGGTTTCCCAGTATGCAATGACCGGAAGTCTGAAATTCGTGATGCATCTATTTGAGCCGTGCCAACAGTACGGGGGCCGGCAAGTGCAAAACACTTTTACATTTTACAACATACATTTACATCTTGAAAACAAATTCCAAGTTGTGAATAAGCAAACAAATTTACAAAAAATAAAACATATGCAGTAGAGCAGAGACAAATTTACATGTCGCAAAAACAGAAATACACACACCCTGAAACAAATTAACAAGAAAGTTTTGACGAAAAGGGAATGTCCTAAAAAGCGGAAATGACAAACAACCATAAAGTTAGTTTTGCTCAGTAGTTCACTAATGCATCGCCGTTGTTCGTCTTTACGTTTTCATCTTTCGTACCTTGATAGTTGTGGATAAATTCTTCATGTTAGAATGTTTATTCTTTGTGGACCTTGTTGGTTGAAGATTTGCTGATGGGGCAGAGTTATGAAGCTGTTGGAAAATACGAATATTTTGCCATAGAAAACCGCTAACTGGAAGTGACGTTTGCCTTTGCAGCACTTCTGGTTGTTGTGAAAAGCTCTATGTGTTTCAGGGGTTTGTATTTGTGTTTTTACCACATGTAAATTTGTCTCGGTGCTTGTACAAATGTTTCATGTTTTGTAAATGTGTTTGTTCATTTTCAAATGTGTTTTATGGAACGTAAATTTGTTTTCAACACGTCAAAAAACTTGTTAATGTGTATTGTGAAATATAAAAGTGTTTTGCACTTAACGGCCACCGTACAGCAATAAAAAGGGGCATAAATTGACATTTGTTCAGGTAAAATACAGAAAAGGTGCTTAAAAACGGCCAAAACACAAAGAAAATGTCATTATGCTGACTCAAATGTTAGTCATGAATAGGCCAAGTGCATAATAATTGTCAATAATTATGCACTCATTTCACAATTTTATTATTACCAACCAAACCAGGGATTTCCCAGTTTTTGATTTTGAAATGTGGTCACTTTTTGTGTGAGTGAATGTTGGTAATAGTCGTAGGGGCCGATGGTGCAGATTGGCAGTCTCACTTCCATCAGTTTGTCCCAGGGCAGCTGTGGCTATAGCAGCTTACTACCACCGAGTGTGGAGTGAATGAACAATGTAATGTTAGTGTTATATAATCTGAATGCATTTATATTATTATTGATGAGGCACTGTCCCAATGATCCAAAGCAGTTAAACAGTAGATCCTTCACTCGTGTGTTTACATTGTAGAGAGAGGAGCTGTTGCTGCTGGTGCTGAATAGTTAAACATATGCAGTGATTATACCTCCACTGGGCTCGTCATGCTCACTCACAGAGCACAGAGACACTGTAGGTATGGTGAGTTCAAAGTCTTGCTCAGGGACACAACAGCAGTATGTGGTTGGGAGTGGAGATTGAACCACAGGTCTAAAAGTCTATCCAGTGTACTGCATTTCCTATCTTGTAATACAACACCTCTTGACTTCCTCTGGAGAATTGGCTGTTACTGAAGATAACAGGGTTCATACATGAGTTTTTATTGCTTATCGTCTCAGTATTTGAAAAAGCAACAACAATTTAAAGCCACATTATGTAACTTTTCACCTTAAAATACACTAAAATAAAAGGATATTTCGTATAAGTATTTTTTTGTTTTTGTACAGATAGTGTTCAGGTGTCTGACATTTTGACTGCAGCATAAGGACAAAATAAAGTTTATGTCACAACTTGTCTTCAGGCAGAGACGCTGCAGAAATAGAAACTGCCTCTCATTCATTTTGGTGCATTTGTGGTCTAATGGAGACTCCTACTGGCCACAACTACTACTACTACTACTACTACTACTACTACTACTACTACTACTACTACTACTACTACTACTACTACTATTACTACTACTACTACTGCTAATAGTAGTAATACTACTACTACTACTACTACTATTACTACTACTACTACTGCTACTGCTACTACTACTACTACTACTACTACTACTGCTACTACTACTACTGCTATTAGTAGTAATACTACTACTACTACTGCTATACTACTACTACTACTGCTGCTGCTGCTGCTGCTGCTGCTACTACTGCTGCTGCTACTACTACTACTACTACTACTACTACTACTATTACTACTACTACTACTGCTACTACTACTACTACTACTACTACTACTACTACTACTACTATTACTACTACTACTACTGCTAATAGTAGTAATACTACTACTACTACTACTACTATTACTACTACTACTACTGCTACTGCTACTACTACTACTACTACTACTACTACTACTGCTACTACTACTACTGCTATTAGTAGTAATACTACTACTACTACTACTATACTACTACTACTACTGCTGCTGCTGCTGCTGCTGCTGCTACTACTGCTGCTGCTACTACTACTACTACTACTACTACTACTACTATTACTACTACTACTACTGCTACTACTACTACTACTACTACTACTACTACTACTACTACTACTACTACTGCTATTACTATTACTACTACTACTAATACTACTATTGCAACAGCTAGCATTACTATCTAGTACTACTAATATTTTATCATTATTTTTTTTACTTCAATCAGATTAAGAAGAAAGTAAATGTACAAGTATTCAGTGCATTTAATGTACATTTCACATATTTTTCTTATTTAAGCTTGAATAGCAGTACTAGCCTACTACACCTATTGGTCCACTTTTACTTATTACTCACAGCCACGTAAACATGTACTGTAAAAATACATCTTAAGTTGGAAATTAAAACATGAACTATAATCATTTTAAACTCCAACCCTCTTTTGTTACATCACATGTATACAGTGCACATTACCTGTTACGTTTGCATAGTCCAGTATCTCAATGACCCATATGTTGGTTGGAAACTAAAGATATAAACTCAAGCCCTACACTGTCCTTATCTAACCCTACAGTATCTCACTATCTCCAGGGATAAGATAACCTTTTTTTTTTCCCAAGATAGTAGCTCAAATAACCATTTCACGGCAATAGGCAACGCAGCATTAGAGTAAAACAAAAGTATTAATAAAATAAAATAAAATAAAATAACTAAAATAAAATAAAATAATAAAAATAAATAAATAGACAAAAAATAATAATGTAATGTAAAATAATGACGTCAGTACCGAAATATTTGAGAATTTAGGTCAGTAAAATTAACGTTTTGGTTAGTGGCCAATTTATTAATATTTTTCATTTATATTTCTTAATTATAATTTATTTTTGGTCTATGTATTTGCCGATTTCACCACAAGATGCCACTAACTTTTTCGCTGGGTCTTGTTTAGCTAGTTTGTCCCTCCGCGGCTGCAGTATTTGTAGGCAACATGGCGGCGGACAGTGATAACGAAAAGGATGATTTTGTGTCGTATGGGACCGCTTTAGAGCCTTTAGAAGAGGGTAAATAACGACCTGACTTCATTTTATTAAAGAAAAGTGCAGTGTCGAATATCGTGTGTGTTTATACGTGGATTAAACAAAGCGGAAACGTAGCAAAGTGTGGGTTTATGTAGCGAGTTAGCCGGAATGCTAAAGTTCAAACATGCTCCTTAATGTTGAGATTGCGTTTATGTTTTAGTCACTTCTGTTGTTCGTACTTGATACTTGCATGTTAAAGACATGTATTTAAACAAAAAAGTACAATATACGCATTTTCTGAAGAACTGTGCATGAAAATAATCTTAGCGTGATTGATCTATGTTTACAAAATAACGTCACATATCTTGGTCTTACTAACTTTATGCAAAACTGTCATTAATCTTTCTCATAAATAAAAAAAGTATTGAATCTTTCGTGTACCAGTATTTGTATTACCAGTTTTGATCTACATTTATCCAAAGTAAAATCCTGGTCTTTCACACTGACTGTATATTTTCAGCAGACTAAATCTTTATACATCTGTGGCATTAAAACTAAACAATATATTATGCATGTATTCTCCTCTTGATCCCATACTCAAGTTACTACTGCGTGTTTTGTTGTTACAGATGAGCCTCTGAAGAAGCCGGTGCCCATTTACGAACAGACCGTGAGGGATGAGAAGGGCAGATACCAGAGGTTCCATGGGGCGTTCACTGGAGGGTTTTCTGCCGGATATTTCAATACTGTCGGCTCCAAAGAAGGTCAGTGAACTTATCATTTGACTTTTATGCTCAAATGTCTTAGTTATGTAGCATTCAATTAATATGTTTTTGTGTTTGAACAGGATGGGCTCCTTCCACCTTCAAGTCGTCTCGGCAAAGCAAAGCCGAACAGCAGCAAGCCAGACCGGAGGATTTTATGGACGAGGAGGTAATGCCACTGTCTAATTATTCTCTTATGTTTTGTTATTTAAGCAAGTTTTCCTTTTTGGTCTTATAATGTATTGGAACCACCTGCTTCAATCTTATATTTTACAGGCTACTAAGCGTGACTGCCTAACTGTCCATGTTAAGCCAGATTTAACAAATAAAATGGCTTCTGAGGCATTGTCACTGGGAATTCCAGGTGCCACAGTGGGCCAGTGCCGCCAGTGTCAAAAACTGTTGTTGTGTCCTTAGGCAAGACACTTCACTCAAGTGGAGTGTGTGTGAGTGTTGGTGGTGGTCGGAGGGGCTAACGGTGCAGCTTGGCAGCCTCACTTCCATCAGTTTGTACCAGGGCAGCTGTGGCTACAATATCTTACCATTACAGGCTTTGGAATGAATAAATAATTCTCTGTAAAGCGCTTTCGGTGTTTTGAAACACGCTATATAAATGCAATGATTAACTGATTGATTAATTACTATACATAAGTGAATTTTGTGGTGTTTCCTTCAAAGTATTGTAAAACACAAATTTAAGCCTGCCATTTTGTCTTAGAAAATTAAATGAAAATGCCAAGTAAGCAAAATGTACTTAAAAATAATTTGCTTGGCATCAAACAAAGAGTCAAACATCTAATAATGACAAATGCGTCCACAACTTCCAGTACTTATCATTATGCTGTTGTGTGATAACAGGATTTTGGTGAGCATGGCATCGCCCCCAGACAGATCACTCGGAGCGCAGAGTTCCAGTCGGGACACAGAGACTCGGCTTCGGAAAAAGCTCGAGCTGTGAACGCCCAGACCTCCCTGATCCCCGGAGCCACTCTGCTGGAGGACATTATCGCACCTGCCCAGTAATACAGTTTATACAACTTTTCTCAAATCAAAATGTATTTAAAACAGCCAAAAGTGCTGAACATCAGGAAACAGAATATTAAAGTATAAACAGACTAAAACATCTCTCTTTACCTTTTGTTTGATATTTATTTGTTAGGGACAGAATTAACTGTACCTGTTGGTCATGTAGCCTAATCTGTTTGCAAATGAGATTCTTGCACAAAACAGACAAGAAGATTTCACAACAACAATGCACAAATCTTACCCGATTGTATAACTAAATATTATTGAAATTTACTGAAGGTTTCTGGCATAAAAAAAATTGTCCAAGTCATTATGAAAATGTAAAACCACAGTTTTTGAATGACATTTTTTCTTGTATTTTTCAGGTCGTCCATCGGTGTGGAGCTGTTGAAGACGATGGGCTGGAGAGAGGGACAGGGGGTCGGGCCTCGAGTGAAGAGGAAGCCAAAGAAACAAAAAACAGGTAACAAATTAATTAAGGTGCAAAAAATAATAGTTGTTGACCTCTCCATGGTGACATTTTAGAAATTGAAAATACGAAGTAGGGCTGTGCCTAAGATAGTAAGATCTCAATGATAAGGCATGCCCATTTCAATCGACAGGTCTACAGCCAATCGTGTGGCAGTAAGACCATGTAGTGCTGACGAAAATCTTCGCTGCTCCAGCTCCTCACCTTTTCTCCTCTTTCTCTCCTTTGGTGCTTCTTATCATTATAATTCAAGTTAAGGAAATTAAATGACCATTTTCTCACCATTTACTAGCAAAACTAATGAGCGTATGCACGTGTGTCTGCTGGCACATGTGTCAGCTAATGGTAACACACACATGCATTTAGGTTTAATATACTGTACAAACTCATTCCAAATTTTAAATGTGAATTTCTCCTGAATTATTGGTCCTATCAACACAAAAAACAACTGTAGTGATCCTGACACCTGACTGCTCTTTAGGTCTGTCTATGTTTTTAATAAGATAGAAGAATGTCAAATCAAAAATTGAGACTGATCAATATGAAAAAAAAAAAAAATCATGATTCTTTTTTCTATATATCGCCCAGCACTAATAGGAAGTACAAAAAAAAAGAAAAATATATTCTAATTGACACTTTCATCTCGGCACATGAAGGTCTCGGGGTGTATGGATGTGCTCTTCCCCCCGCTGGATCTGAGGGCTCTGAGGTGAGTGAAATCTGTCTCTGCATATCCATCAATTACTGCTCCATTTTTATCACAATTGAGAAAAAACATGAATTTCTAGTTGCATTTACAGTCACAAAGATGGCTTTTTTGAACATTTTTGTGAGATGTTTCTATCATCTTCTTTCAGGAGGAGGACGATGATGAGTTTGCTCCGGAGAATGTGACATTTGCGCCCAAAGACGTGACTCCGGTGGATTTCACTCCTCGTTTGGGGCTTCAGGGTTTGGGGTACCGGGGTCTGGACCCGGGCCTGGCTCTGGGGCAGGGCTCTGAACACATAAACCTCTTCGACCCACAGTTCGACTCAAAGGGAAAACTGTTCGGAGGAAAACAGAAGCAGACCAGACGCAAAGGAGTGGCTGGACAGGTGAGGGGATTTACTCTACTAAAGAGGAATATCTGCAATCCACTTTATACAGTGCATTTAAAAACATTATTTATGACAGTTCTGCGACGTACACATTAGCAAACACAGCCTGATAAATTTTTAGATAGTCTGAAAACTAAAAAGAAAAAATACAAACTAGATTTAAACAACACATTTTCAGGAGCCAGGGAGTCTGTCGTGTGTGTTTGATTTTGAACAAAAAAGCTCAGTACAAAATCAGCTCACCTGTTGTACTTCCAACTCAATCAGTTCTTTCTGGTCAGATTGTGTTAAAATAAAACTCAGATTAAAGTTTAATTTGAGGAACAGAGCTTCAGACAGAGCAGTGCATCTAGTTTCTAACTTCACCCCCCAGGGAATGTTGATGTCATCAGCTGCAGTATTATTAGTATTTTACAGCTGGGGTACTTCTTCTCAGCCCAGAATATAACAACCATAACAGCCGGCTCTGTTTCTGGGGTTCCTTCACTGAAAGTAAATTGAGTTGTAAAACCCCATGGTATTATAATTCTAATACTAAATGATTCACGTTGTGGCCTCCCTTTGGTTGTGTTTTAGGGTTTTGGCGTGGGGGCTCTGGAGGATGAAGATGAGGACATTTATCAGAGAGACTCGATGTCCAAATATGACACAGAGATCAGAGACGAGGAGCCCACAGACGGACTGTTCGGGTGGACCGCTCCAAAGGAATACACCAAAAAGAAGGGTGAGCACAGACCAGAGCTGCTTAATGCTACCTGAAAACTGGGTTGAAATATTACATAAAACACAATTTTTAGATCTAAATATTGGCATCATATTATATTAGTTCAAACATTACTAGCAAAATAACTCAACTAATTTTTCTAAGTTTTCCGGAAAATGGAAAAATAAACTGGTTAAAAAATAACAAAACATTTTTTTGTTTACTTAGCAGTAAAAACCGTTCTGATTGGTTGAAGACAGAGCCAATGACACTTGTCCACCTAATGTCTGGAGAGTAGAATGAGACATTTGTACATTTATAAGGTGATTTTGAGTGTCAAGAAAGATACCTAATAAAAATAAAGTGTAAAAAAGAAATAATTAATGATGATCATGATAATAATTTGGCCAAAAAATGACTTGGTGGGTAACCATCATCTACATTTTATTTTTCCAGATTCAAACAAAGACGCGTCATACATCGGTAAAATCTTAGAGGGCTTCACTTTGGCCCAAAAACCTGAAACTTTGAAAACTGTGAGTACTCGTATAATAACAATATAAACAAATGCTATCAGTAAGTCCCTTACTGTCATGTTTGTAATGTATTTTGTCTGTTTGTTAGATCTTCCCTCCTCCCAGGCTGCCCAGAGACTACCGGCCGGTGCGGAGATTTAATCCTGGGACTTTTGTGTCTCACGTGTCGGGGGTCAGCCCGGCTTTGGCCCAGGCTCTGAAAACCTCCAGGGGGCACATGGTCAAAGACGAGCCCCAGACCGGACGGCATCAGCTGGACTCGGGGCAGAGGAGGGCCCTGATCGGAGAGGAGGCGCTGCAGGGTAAGAATTAGAATCACCCGGGATAGTAATTTCTCCGTTGCACTTCTTCTTTAACATTATTATATTATTTCAGGTCCCAGTTCGGTTCTGGATTTACTGAAGCCTGTGGATAGAGAGCGCCTCAAACACATCAGGAACTCCAAGAGCGGACTCCAGACACAACCTCCCAAAGACTCTAACTCCCAGAATACACCGCGGCCCTCTCCTCTCCCTCCTGCGTCGTCGTCATCAAAGCCAGCGCCAACCGTCATGCCTCCGCCTCCGCCCCCTAGTTTCAGCCTGCAGCAACAGCAGGAGGCTCTATCGGCGTGGAAAGGACAAACGTCGGCACAGACTTTTAAACCATTTGAGAAAAACCTAGAGAAACAGGAGAGATACGAGCAGTACCTGGACCGCCTCAAACAAGGAGACAAAGGTAATACACCGGCTAAACATGGACATCATTGGTGTTATTAAAGCTGCACTGTGTAACTTTTCTGGAGGAGAGTCCATGGAGATGTTGTTGCTTTGTCTAAAATGTCCCAGTGGGGCATTAAACGTTTCCATTTTGCATTTACGCAGTAACGTGGGTTTTTGTTTCTATTTTATTGCTGTCTTCAGAGAGATAAATAAGTGTAATGCCATACTGTGGAATATCCGAGACAATATCTCCATAAAGAGAAGCAGGTGACGGACCCTCCACCAGAAAAGTTACACAGTGCAGCTTTAAAAGAGACTGAAAACAACCAGACAAAGACAAAATTAGACGCAATTTCCACTAGGAGGCGAGACACAAGATTGGGTCCATGAGAACGAGACAAGACGAGATTTTAACATAATTTCTAATATAAACATTTCACAATTCAGTGTCAAAATTTTTTATTTATTTGATTTAATATTTTTGTTTCCATTCTAGTGCAGCTTTTTGGAAATGTAAGAGATGTAACTCGCCAACACGTGACCCTTTCTTGTCCAATTCAAATGTGAACACTTGGATAAAAATCTCACAAGGTCATTTTTCTCATGTGTGCATGATCTTGTGGCAATTTTGTCTCATGAGATCTTCTGACACCAGATTTTGTACCATCTCTCATAGTTAGCATTTTAGTTATTTAGTTATTATTTTCAAATGAGTTTTTGTTGGCATTACTATCAAATTTACAAGGTAATTCTAATACGGATGTGAAACAAACATGGTTTCTTCTTCACTCTACCGAGTACATATAGAAGAGCTCCTCTGTTTTTTTGTTTTTTTTTAGATTCACCTGACACTTTCTAATTTATTTTGTTTGTAAATGGCTTGAGCCTTTTGCCAGTTTATTTCATGCTCAGAAATGATTCAATTAATTTACTACTAAGGTGTCCAAAAGTAGTACAAGCAACATAAAGTAGTTATAACAATGATTTTAGTCACTTCTTGATGTACACAATATACAGTTTGTCAATATAGAAGAATAATTTTGGAAAACAGACTTTTTCAGGGCAACAGTTAATCACTGAATTTAGTTTAACCAATGCAAACCACTCTAAAATTCTAAAATTCTCTTTGTGTTTGTGTCAGATGCCCTGGAGCACAGCCTGGACCGTAAGATGACAGAGTGGGAGAGGAGTCGGGAGAGAGACGAGTTTGTCCGGGCGTCCATCCTGTACCGGCCGTCCACCTCCTTCCTCTCGTCCAGGTTCACGAGGGGCAAACAGGACGATGATGATGACACCGTGGAGGTCAACAGAGACGAAGAGGTAACACGACATCACGCGAATGTTCAGTTTTTTTAAGAGACAGATTTGCTGCAGCAACATTTACATTTTTACTGCAGTCTAACAGAAGGACTGGGAGGGGAGCGTCTGCAGATCTGTGTCAGGGCAGTTTGAGGAGAAGAAGAGTCAATAGACGGGACCAGGACACTCCCAGTTTTGAGAATTCATGTATCATTCGTTCATTCATTTTTCAATATAAAACCAAAAATAAGAAAATGAAAAATCAACTGTTTTCTTCATTATTTGTCTCCAGAACCAACATGAAAAAACAGATAATTATTTGTTTTTTTCTGTTTTCGATTTTGCGTTTAAATTAATAATGGGGAAAAAACGGATAATGGTCGTTTCCCTTTTACGTGACTTAAACTGTGATGTTGGACTTTTGCACCACATACAGACTGAACCAGGACTAAACCAGGACCAAACCAGAACCAGACCGGGGCTGAGACCAGGACTTACACCAGGACCAGGCAAAGACTCAGTCCGGGACCTAGACCGGGACCGGGACTGGGACCGAGACAAGGCCAGGACTGAGGCCAGGACTGAGGCCAGGACTGAGGCCAGGACTGAGGCCAGGACTGAGGCCAGGACTGAGGCCAGGACTGAGGCCAGGACTGAAAATGGTCCTGGTTTAGTCCTGTTTTAGTCCTGTTTTAGTCCTGGTTCAGTCCGTATACTGTGCAAAAGTTCAGCATCGCAGTTTAAGTCAAGGAAACGGGAAACGGTCGTTATCCTTTTTTTCCATTATTCAAAACTGAATAAAAAATCAAAAACTGAATCAAAATCAAAAACTGAAAAAACAAATCATTATCTGTTTTTTCATTTTTGTTTTGGAGATAAATAATGAAGAAAATGTTTTTTTGTTTTTTGTTTTATTTTGAAAAACGATTGAGCGAATGATACAAGGATTTTTGAGCTCCGTGTCCCCTGTCTCAGCAGATTTCTCCAAAACCACTGATTTGTTCCAGTTTTATGTAAGAAATGTCCCAGTTGTCCCTATTTTTAACCAATTTGTTACCTACGAAGAGTCATTTGTTAAGCTAAAACACAAAAAACTTTAATTGAAAATGGTACCGACAGAAGTCCCTCAGATTATGACCCACAAATGAGTCGAGAATGGACAATGTTACGCTCTCTTTTCACATTTTTATTTACATCAACCATCCCAAACCCGAGTGTGTCCCAGTTTGGAATTTTGAAAATCTGGTCTGGTTTTGTATTTGGCATCTTTAATCTCCTTTGGTTTTATTATGAACTCTTACAAACGAATCCTCTCTTTCAGGGAGATTTGGACGATAAACAGGCCGCAGTGAAGATGAAGATGTTTGGGAAACTCACCAGAGAAACTTTTGAGTGGCATCCGGACAAACTGCTGTGCAAACGCTTCAACATCCCCGACCCTTATCCAGAGTAAGACCGGATTTATATGTTTTATGTACAACTAAACCCAAAATAGTTCACACCAAAGATAATTATTATCCAATGTTCACCAAAACAGTTTTTAGTCTTAAATTGGATTTATTATCTGGACTAAAAGTTATTGTACATTGTATTTTTTTTCCTGCGATTTGACTAGTTCTGTGCTTACCTTTATATTTATCAGTATTTCTTTTGTCTGGTTGGTCACAGGTCGGGTTTGGTGGGTTTGCCCAAAGTGAAACGGGACAAATTTTCAGTGTTTAATTTCCTGACTGTCCCTGAGAGCAGAGAGCCTCCAGGTAAATTTTTTAATTATTACTTTATATTTTTAATACATTTTGGGTTTAACTACGTTTATCGATTCACATTTGTTATTCGTTGAACTATATTTGTAAGTCCTCCCAGTTTTATGTATTAATGGTTTCATATTAGGCCCATTATTTATTTTATTTTTTTTGATTATACAGAAACAGCTGATATCTGATGATCTCTAATATTGTTTGCTGATGACACAACTTCACTAATATCTGATTCAAACTTCAAAGCACCAATAAACCAGGCCAATGTAGAATTAAAGGACACATCATTTGGAATTTTGATTTTTTTGAGCTTTTAAAACCTGTGCAGTTTTAAAAAGTGCAGTTTTGTCAGACTTCTGCTAAACATTTCTTGCATGAATGCAGTTGCATTCATGACTACTGAGTGTGTATATTAATGTTCCTTTAATTGGATAACGTTAGTTTTCCCTATGCAATTCCCTCTGCTGCCAGTAGATGGAGCCCTACACCAGATTCCAGTACTGGGAGCGTCCAAGTTGAAAAAAAAAAGGCTGGTTTTATACATGGTTATTATTTAAAGTTCTAAAACATGAAATGCCAGAACAAGGGCACTCAAGATAATATTTGAATGCCAGTAAATAGTGCTTAATTAAATGGTGAATCTTTCCCAGATTCCTGTGAATTTTTGTCTCATTGTTGTTCCTCTGCTCAGCTCCTCCAAAAGCTCCGGAGGTGAAGAAGTCTCGATGGGACGTGTCACAGGAAATGAAGGACAGTGATGCTCTGAGTGAGATGCTGAGCGCCGCACGAGACCAGAGCTCTGAGACCGGACCAGACCAGAGCGGGACCAAGGACCAGACCAGGACTACAGAGAATCTGGCTTTACCTGCTCCAGACACTAAAGACCAGTCATCGGATACACGGACAGAGGTGAGGGTCTTAAACCACATGACACTCTTTGAATTACAGCAGCATAAAACTTCCTAAATTGTTTTACTATTGATTTAAAGTGGATATAAACATGTAGGTTTAATAAGAAAGTTTACACACTTCACTTTACACCAGCAGCAGCTTTAACACAAGTGACTCATTCTAGAGAAGCTTGAAAAGTTTTACAGTCACAAAGTAGGGCATTTTAGTGTTTTTTGCACACACACGCAAAAATATTTTTTGCATTACTTCATTCTAAAACTGTCATTTAAAGAAAACATTATTGCAGACTGAATTTTTGAGGAAGAAGAACTTTATTTTGAAAGTCACGTGAGCTTATAATGCAAAACCTTTACGTCACATCCATTTGTTTTTTGGCTTACAGTGGGTTTTTTTAGCTTCTGCGAACATTTCTATTCTAGGGATAGCCCTTCTAAAAATAGCTGAAAGCATACAAAAATTATATATGAATTTTTGTTAGTGCAGTTATCTCTTCTGAAAAGTAGTTCCTAATATGTTTGTAACAGCCAGTAGTAATAATGAAATATCTCACTTTCAAACACATTGCCTGGATGACAACCATTTCTTCAACCTTTTCTATCACATGTCCTGTCAACTAATGGAAAGCAAAACAATTCCAGTTTGTTAAGGACAAAAAGTATGATATTTAATATAAAATAATGTAAACTCACTGCTTTTAGACTTAGACTTAGACAAACTCTATTGATTCACAAGGGAAATAAATAATAAATAATGTAACATGTTTGACATGTGTAAATGTTTTACTAATGAAAGGAAAGGAGATTTTTAGAGACTGATGTAAATGTTTGTTTATGTTTTAATGAATGATGTTGAGTGTTTAATTGTTTTAACTCCCCTTCCCCTTCCCTTGGCTGCTCTGGCATGCCCAGGCCAACATTGTAAATAAGAATTTGTTCTTAATATTTTGCCTGGTAAAATAAAGGTTAAGAAGTAAATAATAAAGAGCAAACAAAAAATATAAATAGTAGGGGTATAACAATATCCAAGTCTCACAATACGATATCGTCACAGTATGAAAATTCAAAATAAGTAGCAAAAATAGCAAGAGGCAGGTGTCAATAAGGTGTATGTATATGTACAAATAAAAATATAATGTCTTTTCCTCACAGACTAAAGAGAAGTTGAGTAAAGAGAGTAAAGAGGAAAGCAGTGATTCTGATTCAGACTCGGACTCTGACTCTGACTCTGAGGCAGAGGAGGAGACCCGACCTCCCATGGACGTGTTCAAGGCCATTTTCTCCAGTTCGTCTGATGAGAAATCTTCATCCGAGTCTGAGGGGGAAGAGGAGCAGAAGGAGGAGCAGGGACATGTGACCCACAATCTGTTTAACATTAATGCTCCTGTCACCACGGCGACGCCATCCACGACAACCACGCCCCCTGTAACAACCATGCCCACATCTGCCACGTCAACCAATCAGAACACAGGTAAAAAAAACTAAAATCATAAAGCGTTGTGAAGTTTTGATCGCACAATTCCATTTCATGGTCGAGCTGAATTCCAAATTTCAATTCTGGTTGACTGTAAAGACTGAAATACCATTTATTAACATTTATTAGTTATATAATTTTAACCAAAACCAAAATCCTTGAAATAATTGATAACAAATTAACTTTATTCTCAGATACCCACAATTATGAAACACATCATAGAGCCATTCTTGTTGTTTGAAAATAACAAAGTTATTTCAAAAAAAGTTAAAATTGTTCTTTTTATTAATTACTGTCCAATGATTCTATATTGTTTATTTATGTATTATTGTTATTGATATTATCTGTTTTAATTAGTTGTTTATTTTTACACAAGCTTTCGTGTCTTGTTTTTGAGTCTGTGTGTGTCTGTGTAGTTTATGTATTAAACCAGGGGTGTCAAACTCAAATTCACAGAGGGCCAATATTTTAAAAACTGGGACTAAGTCGTGGGCCAAACGAAATATTTATTGAACAATTTTAACAACATCTGAATGTTTTCTCTTCTTTCGAGATATGTATTATTAAACCTAAGAAGAAGTCAGCACTAATACATTTTTTATATGATCTCGCGGGCCAAATTTCACCCCCGGTCCTGAGTCTGACATGTCTGTATTATACAGTAAAATGTATTTAAAGAATCAGAGGAGACCCCAGGAAGAATAGCTACTGATATCTTAGTGCCTAATGGGGATCTTAATAAACTAAACTAAACAAGCAAGTAGCGGACCCTCCACCTTAAAAGTTATATAGTGCATCCTTTATACACTGACTTTTATCAGTTTTAAATGAAGTAACTTGATTCTACCATTGTTTTTTTTTGTTTTTCTATTTAATTCCATAGCCCCCTCTGCATCACAAACTGGAAAAGAACAAGATTGGTTTGGTCCAAAGCTGCCACCTCCATCTTCTGTATTGAGTGAGTTTTTTTTAAAGACGGGGTATTATGCAAAATCAACTTTTTGGAGCTTGGTAGTCTAAATATGTCATGTTTTAGCAATTAATCCTACATAGAAGTGTAATAACCCCTCTAGTTTATTTAGTTGACACCAAGCTCTTTATCAAACAGTATTGCAGTCATTTAAAGCTCGAGTTACCATACATCATATTATTATAACAAAAGAGTTATTTAAGGTTTATTTGAAAGTATCTCCCTCCCATTGAGGCTCATTGATGTTCCATGCTTTTATTTTAACTTCCAACCCTTTGTAATGTGAGTGTTCTATTAAATAAACACAAGAGGGCCCTCTAATATGTAACTCCTGATTTATGAATTGATGAACTTGTTTCATTTGATTTATTGTGATTTTGTTTTCCTCGTTTAGGCGGCAGCAGCAGCAGCAGAGATCCTCGGGCCAGATCGCGGTCTCCCAGTTCTGAGGAAAAATACAAAAAGTCCAAAGACAAGAAACATAAGAATAAAAAAGACCATAAGCACAAGAAGGAGAAGAAGGTAAACGTTCACTTTTGATGGGACAACATGGAGGATAGGATCAGAATAGTACTGATAAGGTACCATAGTAGCTTACCACCACTGAGTAGAGTTTCCCACTCTTTTTCACTGACAAAATTTCAAAACTTTTCCATGACTTTTTCATGACCTAAAGTGAATTTTCCATGACTTTGACACCCTACATGTGTAGAATTGATCAAACTTTTAGGGATAAATATGAAATGTTAACTCTTTCCACTCACCTTATGAATCCGTGTATCATTCGTTCATTCATTTTTCAATATAAAACAAAAAATAAGAAAACGAAAAAACAACTGTTTTCTTCGTTATTTGTCTCCAAAACCAAAATGAAAAAACGGATAATGATTCGTTTTTTCAGTTTTCGATTTTGTGTTTAAATGAAGAATGGAAAAAACGGATAACGGCCGTTTCCCGTTTATGTGACTTCCGTGACTGCGATGCCGAACTTTTGCACCGCGTACGGACTGAACTAGGACTGATCCAGGTCCGAGACCAGACCGGGACCAGACCAGGACCAGAGCGGGACTGAGACCGGGACCACACTGGGACCAGAGCGGGATCAGAGCGGAACTGAGACCGCGGCTGGTTCCGAGGTGGTGCAAAGCATCCAAATGACGCTTTTACACCAACGAAAACGAACTGAACTAAGAGCTTTTGGTTCAAATGGACCAGGTCCGGGACAAGACCGGGACCAGAGCGCTACTGAGACTGGGACCAGACCGGGACCAGAGCGGGCCTGAGACAGAGACAAGACCGAGACCAGACCGGAGGCTCAGAGCCCACGACAGGGCCGGAGCTCGAAGCTGAGGCTCGGACCCCGCGGAGGCTCAGAGTCAAAGCTTGGAGTCCACCCAGTCCCGCTCTAGTCCCGGTCTGGTCTCAGACCTGGATCAGTCCTAGTTTAGTCCATACCCGGTGCAAAAGTTCGGCATCGCAGTCACGGAAGTCACGTAAACGGGAAACGGCCGTTATCCGTTTTTCCATTCTTCATTTAAACACAAAATCGAAAACTGAAAAAACGAATCGTTATCCGTTTTTTCATTTTGGTTTTGGAGACAAATAACGAAGAAAACTGTTGTTTTTTCGTTTTCTTATTTTTGGTTTTATATTGAAAAACGAATGAACGAATGATACACGGATTCTTATGGTTTGGTTTTATAGTTTTTTTTAAATTTCAAAATACTGTCAGTGCATTTATTGTCGTCTCTTTTAAACAAAAGGCGCATACTTCGTAAATCATCATAATAGTAGGGATGTAACAATATTCAAATCTCACAGTACGATATTTTCACTATATGCATCTCACAGTACGGTATTTATTGCGATATTTTGGCTAAAAAATGGAGCAAAGGATCATGGTCGATGTAGTGCCCTCTGTTTTTTTTGTGTGTAATTCGATATATTATGATGGTTCACGATATTATTGAGATACTTTTGATGATACAATATCACAATATTTTGGTTATTGTTACATCCCTACATAACAGTCTAAAAAAATTCAATGGCTTTTCTAGGCCTGGAAAATTACATTTTCAATTGCCATGATATTTCCAGGAGTTCCATGACCGTGGGAACCCTGTGAATAGGGATTGAATTGTACAAAATTGTGTTTGGAAAAGAGCTGTACAAGATTAATATAATGTAGCAGTCCTGTTTTTGATTTGGTGCATGTGCAAGCAGTTTAGACCTGAATTTTAACTTGTTTAGTCCTGTTCTTGTAGTGAATTTTAAGTAGTTGTAGTTTTAGTAGCCTTACAGACCTTGTTTAGTCTTGGTTTGGGGGTAATTTATGGTTTAGACCTATTGCTTTTTGTTTTGTGGACATAAATTTTGTCCTATACGTAGACATATATGTAGGTTCAGCCCATTTACTTAATTTTTTTTACTTACTTAATCATTTTTATGTAGGCTAGTTCTTTGAGCAAAAAGTCAAGCCACTATATTATTTGTCTGAACTCACAATATTAACTCCTGTTTCTGTAGAAGAAGAAGCATAAGAAGCACAAGCACAAAGGAAAACAGAAGAAGAGTAAGAAAGAGGAGAGCAGCTCGGACAGTGACACAGAGAGTGAAGAAACCACCACAGAAGTGTCGACAGAGGAGCTGCTCAGAAGGTCTGTGTGGGGATAAAGATGTTTTGACTTTAGATGGTGCTTTAAAGTGGACACATTATCATCTCAAATTAGTTTTAGAATGTTTCAATAGTGTTCCCTTATCATTGGCCGATTCAACGTTCAGGTCCAGGGGTCTTCAATGTTTTTCAGGCCAGGGACCCCCAGACTGATAGAGAGCTGGTGCAGGGACCCCCTACTATAAATATGTATGGCAGACAATTGTGTTTTATATTAAACTGGGCCTAGTGTCGTGTATAAACATTACATCAAAGTCGCTTAACAAGTCCAGGCTTATCCTGAAATCCTGAACTAAATCTAACTCCATCTCCAGTTAAAGCCTGAACTTGTTCCATGACAGAAATAAGTTTGAGACTGACCAAAGTTAATTCAGACCTGAAGTTTAAGCAGCACTTTGTGAGCTTGCGGTGACTCTGAAAAGACCAGAGCAATGAAGCAACGACATCATGGAAAATGGGCTCAAAGCTTGACTTTGATTAAAACGAGAGAGGAGCCACAGCGCACACGGACGAGTTTGATATGGGACAGGGAACTTTTCCAGACATTCTGATCTGTACGTGTGGATCTTAAGTTCCGCTGTGCAGAAAAGTAAAGCTGTAACCAACCTCTTCACGTGTAGCTTAGAAGAAATGATCAAATCCGCACTCGACATGTTTGCAGTTTGACAGGGAGTGAGAAACGAAGGAATGAAGAGAGAGGAACAGACGTGATGAAGGAGCAAACAGACAGAACCCACTGAAATCATCCTGCAAAAATTAAGAAATATTTTTAAAAAAGATAAAAAATGTCAAATTAGCCAAATATTTCACAACCCCCTCTGCAGTACCATAATGCAACTACTAAATACCAGAAAAAATACAAAATGTTTTCTTTAATATGCTGAATTTCCCACTCTCTGATGGGGACAGGAAAAAACCCAGGTTGAATGTGCTTCTATTAGTTTCAACGTTCATTTTCCTGTTTTATTAGTTGTTTATTCAAACACAGCACACAGCCTATGCATTATAACAACACACATTTACACCGTTCACCCATGAAAACTGAACTAGTGTGAATGTGATATTACTTAAATGTAAATGTTTAGAGAGACGTAATCTTCTATAACTATAAGTATGTACTTAAAACTGTAAATGGTCGGCTGTAGCTCAGTTGGAAGAGCATTTGCCCACTCATCTGAAGGTTGGTGGTTCGAATCCAATTCTCGACATCCACTGACCCACAGGTTGGCTGGTGTGATTCCAGCTCCCACAGATGAGTGGTTCCTTGTTGTAAAGCGCTTTGAGTGCCTTGAAGGTGGAAAAGCGCTATAGAAAAATGTGACCATTTACCATTTAAATGCACATGCAGAGACGGTTAATGTGTCTTTAAGGGTCAGTGCTCAGTCTGATGTAAAATAACTTTTTCTTTCTGTTGTTTCAGGCTGAAGACTGTCCGTGCACAGTGTCCTCTGTGAGGACTCCAAACTACAGCTGCTGTTTTAAACAATAAATTGTATATATTGTACAATAAACTGTTGGTGCTGTTGCCTTATTTCATATTACAGACAGTTTGTTCTCTCAAAATATGTCAAATATCATATTGGCCAAAATCATTTCAAGTCTATATGAGACTCACACTCTTATGTGCAGATAATTTAGGCTGACAAGCAGCATTTAAGTATTTTCTATTTGCACAATTAAAGAAAAGCTGCAGTAGCCTTTTGTTTTACAGACAGCTTAGGTATTTTTCACTGAAAATGAAGGTGCTGCATCCAAACATGGATGATCATAAAACAGCCTGTGTCCTGATAAAGGCTTAAAGCCTGAAGTGTCTGTGCTGTTCATAGACTGTGTACATAAATATTGTTCTTTCTGCTCTGTGAAGCACACACTTTATTCTCATGTCTGTGAGAAGTTCACAAACACACTGACACTGTCAAAATTAAACCTATTACATTTAGAAAGGTTTATATTATTGAGCTGAGGCTTTATAAACCTCTAAAATGCCCTGGCATGTGACAAACATAGAGTCTCTTCAAAACTTTCCCGGGGAGGAGCATGAATAGATAGATAGGTAGATAGATAGACAGATAGATAAATCCATGGGGAGGCACCTTGGGATAGTTGTCATGGTGATTCCGGCCAGGTGGGCGTGGTCACGTGGGCACAGATGAATGCTGGGTTCTTTTAAAAATGGCGCTCACCTGCACAGGTAAGGGACCTGGCACCGGGGGAGCCGAGGTGAGTCGAGTCGAGCCAACTCGTTATATTTTTTTTGCTGACAGTTTCACTAAAGTTACTCTTGGTGTCACTTCAAACGCTGCTTTCTGTCAGAGGAAGCACCTCTCACGGCAGCGCGACGTTTTTAGCAACAAGAAATTGCGGTGTGGAGCCATCGGCGCAGGACCCGCGCATTTTAGGAAAACGCGCCAAAACTGCAGCGGGACCCGAATCACCATCAGCACGACAAACAGCACGGAGGAGTCCAGGTAAGTCTTACGAGACCAGGTGAGTCTTGTTTATGGATACAGAATCATTATTGCAATAATAAATAAAATGCGTTCGTTTGTAAATATTGGATGAATGAAACTGCTGCGGGTGCGTCGTTACTCTGCGCTCTGATTCATGTTTATGCAATGTGCAAAGTGGTTTGAAATAAATAAAGCGTTGATGTGATGAGTTTCAAATGATAAAGATGCTTTTGTTGAAAGGAAATTTATTTCACTCTGTGGATGTGTTGTAAATGATGGCTCACTGAAAAAAACTGACTATAAAAGGAAACATGAAGGTGCGGCCTTGTGTCCTGAAACTGTCTGGTAAAAGGAAACTTACAGAAAGGCATTTTCTGAAAACAAATGCAAAAGGTTTTGTCAGTAAAATGAAGGAAATTGTGCTACAAACAAAATTCATGAAACAAAAGCTAAACTTTTCTCAAATAAAATCTCTCGGTATTTTGATGTGTGAAAATGTCATTTATCACAAAGTGTAAAACCATGGTGAAAAAAAATGTGTTTTTCAAATGTAACAAATTGCAATGAAAAGGTTTAAACATGTCCACCAAGCTTGGGTCAATGAACTGGAACACAATGACTCAGAATTATATGAAATGAACGATACATTTGTGGGAATTAAATGGTCACTTTCCAAACATGAATGATATAAGGATGATACAGGACCTGCCATAAAATACTCAAACATGCAAATTTAAACAAATGCAAAACAAAAAGTGGAAGGTGTCATCAAAGGTTTCAAATGAGATGAAAACCTACTTGGAAAATAAAAATCTCTCATCTGTCCTGGAAATTTAAAACCGTCCAAATGCATCCAACTGTACAATGGTCAACTCCTAAAACTTCTGTTCTTTCTTTTTATCCTTTACCTTGTGTCCTCTCAAAACAAGATCTGAGGATTTTAATGGCTCAGATTTGGGCCTAAACTGGTCCAAATGTGTCATATTCTACATACTTTTATGGAGACTGTGTGGTTTGTTATGGGTTGATCTGGTCTAAATGTGGACTAGATTTTAATGTTTAATTTCCACAGGTGGCACTTGGTTTTGGGTTCTTGTATTGCGTTGGGTGTGGGTTTGGGGTGGTTGGTAAGAATAAAACTGAAACAAGTGCATAATTAAGGAAAATTGTGATGCACTCAGACCACCTTGCTGGAAGAGTTTACCTGAACTCTGTGAGGGAAGCTGACGGACGTTCAACCCAAAACAAAGACTCAAAGGTGAATATAAAACTGTTTTGCTGAAATACACTAGTATTTTGTAATTTTTGTTTCTAACTTTTCCTTTGTGTTTGCAGGTTTGGGTGGTGTCCTCTAACCTTTCTACAGGTCTCAGTTTGTTATTTTCATTGTTAATTAGTTCATAGTTAATCTAAGCTAAATATACTTCGTGTCTTGCAACTGTGAGACATGAAAATCATCTGCAACAACTGTAGCAGATGTTATGTTTTAGCTTTAGCTCATTTCAAATAAAATTGTCTACCATATGTTACTGACTAATGCTGGAGTTTTCAGGTTTTAGGTTGGTGTCTAACCCTTTTACAGCAGCTCTGTGATATCTACTACTGCTATAGAAGCTAAAGAGTGCTGCTGACCAGTGAAAAATGAACCTTTTGCCTCCATCTGAAGTTAAAAAGGACCCAAGAACTAAAGTAGAAGAATGGAAACTCTTATATCAGAGGCTATACTCCAAAATATGGAATGAAAGAATTGATCCAGACCACCTTGTTGGAAGAGTTTACCTAAACTCTGTTTTGGGTTGGGTTGGGCTTCAGCCAGCTTTCCCCCAAAGACCCAAAGGTGAATATTAAACTGTTTTGCTGAAATACTCTAGAATTTTGTAATTTTGTTAATAACTTTTCCTTTGTGTTTGCAGATTTGGGTGGTGTCCTCTAACCTTTCTACAGGTATCAGTTTATTATTATTATTATCATTGTTAATTAGTTCATAGTTAATCTAAGCTAAATATACTTCATGTCTTGCAACTGTGAGACATGAAAATCATCTGCAACAACTGTAGCAGATGTTAGTTTTTTTTTTTTTTTTAAACAGCTAAAGCTAAAATGTGATGACTGTCATGTTACTAACTCTTCAGTTTTCAGGTTGGAGAAACCCACATCTTTTTAAAACCTGATCATTTGGAATAATCTTCAGGTACAGTATATTTTAGTAGGGAATTTTTGAGGGAAATTCTCCCTTTGTTGATGATGAATGGGTCAAATGCAAAGTGCTGCTGGGACAGCCTGTCAGGAGCAGTGAGCTGCTGCCATACACCTGTGCAGGTTCTGCACACAAAGGAACCTTTTTGCTGTGAGTGAGTGCTCAGCCACTCATCTTGACTTGAGTTTTGGTCCAAGGGTTGAGGCCCATGTGTTCTGTCACTTTTTTATGGTCTGAATGTAATAGTTCTGACTCTTTGACGTTGGATTTGTGACCGACATAATCTTACAGGGATCTTTCCCGAGTGCAGGTTTCACTGGATTCGTTGGTCTGTTCATGCAGACTTTAACTCAGGTAGGTGACATTTCTGTGTGAATCATCATCTCAAAACAAGGCCTGAATATGCTGAGGATTTTATGTCCAAGGCTTTAGTTTTAGGCCTAAGGTGGTTTGAAAGTGGGCCATATTTAAATGTTGCCTCACTTTTATGGAGACTGCTGGTCTCTCCTGGTCTTATCTGGTCTAAATGTGGAGTGGGCCAGATTAAATGTTTACACCATAATTTCCACAGGTTTCATTTGGGCTTGGGCCCTTGTGTGTTTTTGGTGTGTGCCTCGACTGGTCTAAATATTGGCCAGATTTAAACAGGCTGGTAAATCATGTTATTCTCGGGTGAAAGTGAAATTTCTTATTCGAAACTAAGCCTTCAACAGTTTCATTTGGAGGTAAAAAGGTCTGAAAACTGATTTGAGTCTTGGGTTGTTTAAAGGAGATGTGTTTTGTATTTGGTTTGGTCTGAACTGGTCTTAACGTGGGCCAGATTTGGACTGGTTTATAGAGTCTGATGGCTCTGGTCCTAACCCTTAGACTAAACTGTAATACTAGTTGTTCAACTCTTCCACAGGTTTGCAGAGGGTCTGTTCATTTTAACCAGTTTGAAATCTGTTGACATTTCTGTTTAAACATTGTATTAACTTTACAGGGTTAAAGGTTAAATCTCATATTAATTTTGTCATTGTGTATGTTGGAAAATTGTTTCGGGTTTGTTTTGTGAAATGACAGTTCTCACCCTAACTCTTCTAACTCTTCTCATTGCAGCTCTAAACTGTTGTACTAAACTTTTAAACTAGTCTTTACAGGTCCAGAGGCTGCTGCTGTTTACTGTGAGTATGTCTGCACGCACTTACTAACACACTAACTCTGTATGAACACGGGCGGTGGGTCTAATCCAGCCACAGAGGGCGCTGTGTGTGTCCCTCTGTGCCAGTCCCCAGCCTGGATAAATGGAGAGGGTTGCTTCGGCGTAAAACCTGCCTCTTTTAGCCTGATCTTAAAGTGTTTATGGCAGATTTTTCTAATTATTTTTACTTGGTTTGGTGATATTTACTTGTGGTGAATATTTGTCATAGTTTTACATCAGTTTTGTGTTAGTTTCTGGACAAAAATTGAAAAACACAAAAATACAGGATGTAGTAGTTTTAAAAAGGAATACATCTATGGATAATTGAACTATTGTGTCATATAGGGAAGTCTTGGCCCATTTTTCACAGTATGGTTGCTCGGTAAAAGTTATGAAATTGTCTCTGTATCTTCTGTCCGTTCAACCAGGAAATAAAGTGAGAAATGTTCATAAATATAATTGCTAACATACCATATGCACTTTAATATATTGACTGTACCAACTTAAATCTGTCGTTTATCTTGTAGCTGTAAAGTTATATTTATAGGTTTGATTTAGTCACTCGTCAAAATTTCTCCTGCTGCTAGAATAAAAAGTACATCTGTAAATATTGTAATGTTGAATAAAATGTGTAATGTGTGTAGAATTTAGAAAGAAAAAAAAAAAACATGTTTCTCAACCTGT